ATTTTCTCCGATTCTGTATGTGGCCTTTTCACATTGTTGATTTTTTCCTTTGATACATAGAAGTTTTTAAGTTTGATGTTGTTCCACTTGTCTATTTTTCCTATTGTTGCCCCGTAGTCTGACTTTTAACCACTGTGACCATTATACTATGTTGTTCAACCCAATCATACTACACCATCATCTGCATAGAATATACAGCTGTGGACTAGGTTTCTGCCCTCAGCTCGGCTCCTGGCATGGAGCCATTGTAATTTTCTGAGCAATAGGAGTGCTAGGAGCATCTTTTGTGCTAATATCCCAGTTCCTGACACAAAGTTCCTAAATTCCTTGGAATTTCCTGAGTGATAGGAGTGTTTTTTCCTCTGATGAGGTGACTCTTGGTGGGCTCCCAGATGGGGCTCATTACCAGAAAAACCAACCCGTGATCAGAAGCTCCGAACTTTCAGCCCCATCCCCCATCCTCCAGGGAGGGAAGAGGGGCTGGAGATTGAATTAATAAACAAAAATACCTACATGGTGAAGCCTCCATAAAAATCCCTGAAAGACAGGGTTTGGAGAGCTTCTAGTTGGTGAACACATCCACATGCTGGGAGAATGGCACATCCAACTCCATAGGGACAGAAGTTCTTTTGCTCTGGACCCTTCTGGACCCTGGCCTATGTATGTCTTCATCTGGCTGTTTGTCTGTATCCTTTATCATATCCTTTAGTATATAATAAACTGATAAATGTAAGTAAGTGTTCCCCTAAGTTCTGTGAGTCATTCTAGCAAATTATGGAACTGAGTAAGTGGTTACAGGAAACTCCAATTTATAGCCATCACTCAAAAGTACAGGAAGACCAGACTTTTGATTGGCATCTGAAGTGGGGGCAGTCTCGTGGGACCTCTGTTTTGTGGGACCCCTTAACCTGTGGATTCTGACGCTAACTCCGGCTACGTAGTGTCAGAATTGAATTTAATCATAGGACACCCAGCTGGTGCTGAAAAACTGCTTGATATGTAAAAACCCACGTATTTGGTGTCAGAGGTGTTGAGAGAGTGAGTATATAGACAAAAAGTGTTTTCCCTTTTTAAATAGCATTTGAACTTGCTCCAAGGCTTTCGTACCAAAATAGTTTCTTGCACTTGAGAACGTTCTTGTGTGTGTGGCAGGCAGAGCGTGAAGGGCAGGGGCAGGGCGGTAGTTTTGCCTATGTATATTTACAGACTTTCTTGGATTGAGTGTTTCCCACAGATAACTACCCCGTTTTGTTGTTGTTGCTGTTTAATGATGATTCTTATTGGTTGCAGATTTAGAAGGGTTTCTTTACCTCGTCTAGGTGGAGACTCATTTGGAAATTTTTGCATACTGGCCAGTAAAGCAGTGCAGGGAGTGTGGTGGGCATGGCACTGAACTGAGAACCCAAAACAGGGGCTCTGTTCCCAGCTCTACTTCCTGTTGTTTCCCCCATCACCTTCCTCGACAGCACAACATCACCCTCCCCAGCGTTTTTCACAAAGACTCAACAAGGGGATACGCGGTAGAGAAACATTTCTGTAAAGTAGACTAAACCGCTAGTCGGGTTTGTTCCTGATTGGTTATCGGAAATAGAATCTGGAGACTGATGACAAAGGCACAAGAAGATGAAACGATTTCCTTCCTCTTTTCTAAGTTCATCTCCTAAACCCCACTGGACTCTGGCCCACTTCTGGGATGACTTTGGAGACAGAAATGTTTCAGAATGTATATCCTGGCAGCCTATGGCTGCTTCAACCACTGGCAGTTTTGCTGCTTCTGGGTGAGTGAAGGTCTTTCTGAAAGGGGGCAATTTCAGCCACTCCTACTGCCTGTTCTCCAGGGTCCAGTGTGGTGAATAGCTAGCTGGGCCCTGGAAGCTGGGAACAGATTGAAAGGGGAGAGCAGACCTTGAATTCTTACTGTTTCAGAATTCAGAGGTATTTTTGCAGTCCCTGAGAAGTCCATTCTGTGCCAAACTTTCGTGTTAACTTTGTAGCCAGAGGGGCAGGGATGAGATAAGGAGGACATGGGCAGTGAGTGCTCTTTTAAGAGATCAACCGAAAACAGGCTCTTGAGATGGGTCCTGGGGAAAGAAGGAGCCAAGATCACCTTCCCCTGCCCCTCTTCACATATCAGCAACTAAATTTGTTCTCATCTTCTGCTCTACATTGATCCCTCTCTTCTCTTTGACAGCTTCTGCGGACAGGCAAGCTGGTGAGTTTGCTCTTTGTTTTCTTGTATTGCTGGTGTTGTTTCCTCACAATGTCATGCGGGATGTACTATGTAGGGAAAATCTGTTCTACCAAGAATTAGGCCTGGGTTCAGCATGGTCAGTTCCCCCATTTTAGTGGGGCTTTGGATTTGATTCTTGGTAAGATTCCCACTGGATCCACCGAAGACTCCACAGTTCCTTCAAGGTTATTCATTCACATCCCTTTCTGCTCTCTGCCCCTCAGCAGCTCTCCCGAAGGCTGTGGTGAGACTTGAGCCCCCGTGGGTCACCGTGCTCAAGGAGGACGACGTGACTCTGACGTGCTGGGGGGCCCACACCCCCGGGAACTTCTCCACCCAATGGTTCCACAATGGGAGCTCCATTCCCACCCAGGTCCAGTACAGCTACAGGTTTAAGGCCAACATCAATGACAGCGGGGAGTACAGGTGCCGGACGGGCCAGAGCAGCCTCAGCGACCCTGTGCATCTGGATGTGTTTTCCGGTCAGTGGAGGAAGGCCCCGGGGAGGGTCTGGAAGGACTAAGAGAGATGAAATCTGCTTACACTACAGAGATTTGCAAGAAAGGGGGGGTGAGTGGCCTGTTTACTGAGAAGCATTGCTGTGAGTTGCCCACTCATTTCCTGTTTCACCCACCCCCCTTTGCTTAGCATGTTTGGTGGAAATTTGGAAATTTCTAATAATTTCCTCAGTATGTGTTAGGTTGTTTTTGCCTCAGTCCTGATTGAGCAAGAAGGTTGCAAGGCCTCAAACAGGCAGCTGAGTGTAAGAGAAGCAGAAGGAAATCCCTACTCTAGAAGGAAACCACTGACTCTGGTGGCAGTCTAGTAAAGCACAGAGTCTGGAGGCAAACAGACCTGCAAAGGCCCTAAGGTGGGAGCCTGCCTGACAGACGTGAGGAGGTCGTTCTGCTGGAGTGCGGAGTCTAATCTGGAAGATGAGGTCAGAGGTGAGGGGAAGGGGAAAGGATAGACCATGAGAGGCTGGTAGGCTGTTGTGATGACTTTGACTTTATTCCTGCGTGAGATGAGAATTCATTAGATAGTTTTAATTAAAAGAGTCACTTCATTGGATTTAGGTTTAGGTAAAATCTGGCAGTGTTCGGTTTAAGAGATTCTGTAGAGAAAATACCCCTAGATACTATTTCTACCCCTCTCCAATGTCTGAAGATATGAGCGCTTTTGTATTGTAGTTTACTTCAGTTGCACCCTTGGTGCATAAACCCTGAAGATGGTCACAGATGTTTACATGTGATTTTTTTTAGTGGTCCTTTAAGGGCACTGTACCAGAGAGATCCTGGCAGTGGAGCCACTCTGTTTATGGTGCTCTATCGAAGGGGGAAAAATAGTGAGTTAACCTCAAAAAGCTGCCCAATGACATCACAATTCCCCATCTCCTCTCTTTGTGTATTGGCTTCCCAGAAACAGCTGATGGTACATCTGACTTTTCCTGAGGAAGTGTAGGAATGTAGAGCACAAAAACTGAGATCTGAAGGGTTGTTAGTGTTAACTGACTTTTTAAAATTTTTAAAATTTTTTATTTTTTTCTTCCTGAACCTGTACATGACTGTTTATAGTGTTAACTTAAAAATCACACCATTTATAAATCTGAAAAGGAGAGCATTACTTCTTATAAAGGGTTACAGCCTACAAGGTAGCCATTCTGACAGGCTGGGAAGCACAGCCTCTGGCTGAAAACTGAGAAAATAAAGCAATTTGAAGGAGGAGGGGTTGGGGCAGGAGCTTTATGTTGAACAAGATTCCTAAACATAAATATTCAACAGGTTACAAAGGGAGCTATGACCATTCATGAAGGGAGATCATGCACACGCATGATAAGAGACCATGCATGTTACATGCATTCCATGTTCACTTTGGGGTGTAAAATTAATATTTAAATGTATTACAGTTAGGCCCTATACATCAAAAGGTGAATTAGGGACACAAATGCACAGCCTCTGCAAAACTGGCCAGAACCTGTCCATGATCTGTGGTCTCTTATCAGGAGAGTCTTACTGGAATCAGTCTCTCGTCCAATCAAAGCTGTAGGTGTGGCTTGTGGAACAGGGTGGTCAGTTAGTCAGCATCTGGCCATGATGAGCTGTAATTGCTTCAGTATTGCCTATCTCAAGGCCAGCGCTTATTTAGCTGCTATAGAAAAAGGAAAGCTCTGGTAGTTAGACCATAGTTTATTCTTTAAGTGTAGGGGTGTATGACTTAACCCTTGCCTGGCATGGCCTTAGGCCCTGTTTATAATTTGGTATCATATTGCCACAAAGAGTCTGTTCTGTTAGTCATATGATCTCTACGTTAACATTAATGTTGGTCAATTGTTGTTTCTAAACCACAACAGGGAGGGGCTATAATAAAGTGTGTCTGACCTCCAGTCCCATCAGTTTTTAAGGTTTCTCTGCCCTTGGCCTAGAGGGGGTCTCTTATCAGGAGAATGTTACCGAAATCAGTCTCTTATCCAATCAAAGCTGTAGTTGGGTTCTGTTCAGTCTGTTGGGGGGCTTAGGATTTTTTTTTCTTTTTTAAGGGAGTTAATAGTTTTGGCATTTTCTTTTTCTTCTTTTTTTTTTATTTCAGGGTATTGTGAGGGTACAAACATTAGGGTTACGCTTTATGTCTTTGCCTCACCCAAGTGGGTTAAAGACATGCCCTTCCCCCCCACAGTGCTCCCTGTGTCATTTAGTTGCGGATTTAGCCCCCCAACCCCCTAATCGCTGGAGAGTATTTCTGCCATGTGATCACCCTAGTGTTCATCAGTTGGTACCAATTTGATGGCGAGTACAAATGGAGCCCATTCTTCTGCTCTTGTGATGCCTCACTTTGGATAATGGGCTTAAGTTTAATCCAGGAAAGTATAGGAGGTTCTAGATCACTGTCATTTCTTATGATTGAGTAATATTCCATTGTATACATATACCAAATTTTAATAATCCACTCATGGATTGA